GGGGGGCGGGGGGGAAGGGTACTTTGTTTTTTAAAAAAAGAAATTCCATCTCTTTGTGCTCTTAGTCATTTCTCCTGCCTAGCACAGCATCTATTCAGAGGCGAGGCTGGTAACTAGCCTGATTGCTCAGTCAGCCCAAATCGCAGCACCAACCCAAGCACTGAAAATTCATGAATCTCTCTACTCCCTAAAATTGGGAAAATAACTTTTTTTTTTTTAAGCCTGTGCAGGGTTTTTTTGCAAGCAATCAGTGCTGGAGCCATTAGAGGTGTATTTTTCAAGCTTTTTCTCTCACACTATGTGGGCCAAAAATTTTCCAAAGAAAGAAATTGTGTAACTGGTGATTTTCAAGCAGCAGTGTTAATGTTGGCTCTAGATCTTTCAGAAAAGCTCACCAAGTACACAAGACCCTCAATAAAACTGAGCGCGTAACACATTACATATATTGATCCCATGGGAATCTGTGACAACATGGAAAAGTTCCTGTAAGTTCTTTGACAATAGTTTTTGTGATTTCAACGTCTTACTAACACCAGGAAGAGAAGAGCTCCCAAGTCCCTACCCCTACACACGTGGCCCTGAACTCTCTTCCCCTGCAGCAACAGTGTCTTACAGTAGTATAAATCTCATACAGTGACAAAAAAGAAGAGACAATCCCATCTCATTCCCTCAAAAACAAACTTGACAGATGAAGGAGTAGGAAAAACATCTCCTTGCTTAGCTGAAGTACCAGAGGCAGGAAGAAGGGAAGGTCAGGGCAAACTCCAATATCCCACCCTGCTGCTGGACAGTTAATGGCAGCTCTCAGCAAGGGCCCGTAGCCAGTGGCACTTCAGGGGCTCTAGTGCAATGTGTCATCTCCAGACAGGCCACTGTAATATTTTTTGCTGTCCGTGTTTAATTGAGATTGTGCCAGTAGCATCCAGGTTTCCAGGCAAGACAACCCAGGAGCTAAAGACCCCCATCAGTGGCACCATCCCCTTGACATGCAGCATGGAAAGCAGCACAGGTTTTCCCAGGGAGGATGAGGTGGGGGGAGAGGTCAGTAAAACACAGGTATTTTCCAGTAACTTTCACCCAAATAAAAGAAAATTGGCAGAACTGAGTCTTCCTCTGCCTCCCCCACAGGTGAAACCCCAGCCAAGATTCAGGGCCGTGCATCAAGGAGCAGCTACTGCCCTGCAAAACCGCTCAGCCATGCAGCAAGAACCCAGCATGGGAACACCACAACTGCAAAAGAGGTGGCCCAGATCAGATCAAGTCTGCCTCCCGAGCAGAGCAGGTGGTCCAGCCTCAGTAGGAAACCATCTGTTTCCACAAGAGCCCTGTTGGGCACAAGACAAAGCAGGGAGTTGGGGGTGTGTGGGTGCAAAAAAAAAAAGAAAAAAAAAAGGGGGGAGGGGGGAAGAAGAAAGGTGAGGGGACATTTGAACTGTTTCATTGCCTGCTCTTGCTTTACGCAGTTGTTTGGGTTTGGGGTTTGGTTTTTTTTCCTCCTCCTTTCCCTAGCTTAGCATCTCACCACTGAATGTATTGCCTGGGAAACCAGGCTGCCAGCTGCGAGGTGCAGCCATCCTCCCCACCTCAGCTCCAGCAGTGGCCACAGGGCCACAGAAATGTCCTGTCACCAGCTCTGCCACCAGCACTACCGCTTCTCCCTGCTTTTTCACCACTTAATGTTTTGGG